AATTCATTGTGGAGTATATTAATGCTCCCACTCTACATTTTGATGTGCAGTGAAGGGTACCTTCTTTATTCAAGCAAACAGGCTCAAATGGCAGACATGGATTTCTATGAAGCTGCATCCTCAGTTGATACACTGGAGTCAGTCAATAAACATTTATTAAGTGCCTATTATGTATCTGTCAGGCACTCTAAGTGCTGAGGGTTACAAGAGCCCCTTCTATTCAGTTGACAGGGAATTATTAAGTACTCACACTATAAAAGGAAATAAAGGAAGTACAAGACATGTTCTGTTACCCATGGAGTTTACAATCCACCAGAGGAGAGAATATTTGGCTGCTACAGCATGTGTCTCAACGGTTCAGAAAAGGAAGAGATCAGAGAAGGGTGGAACAACTGGAGGCTTCAGAAAATAATTGACTTTTCCCAAGTAGTGTATGATTCTACTTCCTGATCAGATGTCTAGACCAGGCAGGCAATACAAAAATGGGTGAATTTCCCCCCAAGTTGTTGCCTTTATCTTTAATTCTATGATATTATGTCATTTTGTTAATATTAACTTGTTAATCCTTAAATTTAACAAAAGGTTAGCGTTTTTAAAACTTCATTTTTCAGATGAACTGTATGGTATATCCATTTGAAAGTCTCTAAAAGCAGCACACAAGGAGAATTTGGTTGTGCTAAGAAGAGAACTCAGTGGTTTTACTTCATGACTATTACTGGAATGAATTCTGCAGGGTCTAGTTTCAAGTTTCTCATGTGTATTATTATGTGTATGTCTATTTTACATGCCTCTCTCAGCCAACTTCAACTTTACTGAAAACCAAGAGACAATGGTTACTTGGGGGAAAAAAGATGTATCAGTTAACAGGATTTCAAACATAGTTCTACATAGTTTTAAAAAGTTTTTTTTTCTTCAAAAGAAAGTAAATTGCCCTGCTACCTCACTCCTCCAGGATGGCAGTGAATTATAATGTTTGAATCATACTGATTATCTAACACCTTAAACTATTTTTTAGAAAGTACATTTAAACAGTTCTCTCACTCCTAATACATTACTATAAAAGCTACATAATTTTGGACCTGAAAAGACTCATCAATTAGTTTTAATTACAAGGTATTAAAATGTTTTCACTTTCTCCAAGGTACATTTTTCATCTTTCAACAAGTTTGTCGTACAGTACCTTGGTACCATAAGTACGAATGGTACTTTGAACCCTAATTTTGGTTACTTCAACATTAGTTATCATAAAGCATATTAGAGTCTCATTGTTGGACTTAACCTTTTTAAAAATGTTTAATAAATAAAAATGGCATATGAGGGCTCCTGAAGAGCCTGTCCTTTGTAATATTTGTCCCTCAGGCTCAGTGATTCTACTTCTGTTTTTGGGATTCTCTGAATGGGTTGTCCAATTTTCAGAACAGAATTTTATTTATTTTTTGGGGGGGGATGCAATTGGGGTTAAGTGACTTGCCCAGGGTTACACAGCTAGTAAGGCCTGAGGCCTGATTTGAATTTAGGTCCCCCTGACTCCAGGGCCAGTGCTCTATCTACTGTGCCACCTAGCTGGCCCTCACAAAAGAATTTGAGTTTTTTTTTAAGTAGTGGAGAAGTAGTGTCGATATCTAATAATTACAACACTCAAAAAACATAATTAAGAACAACTTCTCTATGACTGTACTCTTAAGTTTACACTTTAGTTTTCTCTGTGCTTTTGCCTACAAACTTTTATAAACCAAACTTCTTTCCTTGTGATTCTTTTTGCCCAAACTTTAATTCTCCATCTAGTTAATCCAATTAGTCTCTTATTGCAGCCAGGCAACTAAGTTCCAGATATTATTAACTTTTTGGCAAGCTACACATATTCTTCCCCTCTGACACTGGCTATTAATATAGACCATTTAAAGTTAGATATAAAGTGGCTTCTAATTTGCTATTTTATATAATAAATCATACTCATTGAAAAAGTATCTTACATTCTAAAGGATAATGTGGATTGCTACTATTTTATTCCATAAGATTATTTCTTCTTAGCTTAAAAAAGCTTACTTTTTTTGGCCACATCAATTTGCTTTAGTTTTTATTTTATTTTTAATTTATGGAATAAAACAAGTATTTCCATAACATGGTACAATCAAAAAGATGATTGTACATGAAACTGCAAATCTAATATGCACAACTTGCTATTCCATTCAAATATACAACAAAATTATCATGTAAATCTCCTTTTTTTCTCCCCTCCACCCCCATGGCTACTATTAGACACAAATCAGTATATAAAATTATTCTACACATACTTCTTTTTATCAGTTTCCTCTGGATGCAGATAGTATCTTTCTTCACACGTCCTTTAAAGCTAATCTGGGTATTTATAACAGACAAAATGACTTAGTCACTCAAAGTTGTTCTTAAAACAATATTGCTGTTATACAACGTTCTTTTAGTTCTGCTCATTTCACTCTTACTATTTAATTACTTCAAGCCTTTCCATGTTTTTCTAAAATCATTGAGCTCATTTCTTATAACACAGTAGTATTCCATCACAATCATACATCTCAACTTATTCAGCCATTCCCCAATTGATGGGCATTCCTACAATTTCCAGTTCTTTGTCACCACAAAGAGAGCTGCTATAAACATTCTAGAACATACAGGTCATTTTCCTTTTTCCCTAATCATCTCTGGAAACAGACCAAGTAGTGGTATTGCTAGGTCAAAGGGTATAGGTTGTTCAAAAAAGCTTACTTTTAATGAAGTCCCTTAGTCTACATATAGTATCCAAAGACCAGGCTTTCCTACAGAAATAATTTAGTCTCCTAGTCTAACCAATTCTGCTACAATGATCTGCAGAGAAGAGCTTCTACAACTAGATTCCAAACACTCCCTAAACTTTTGAAGGCCATTACAGTTATGGAATGACAGAAGAGGGGCACAAAGGTAGTCAATTGATCAACAAATATTTCTTATGTGCCTTACATGTACTAAGCCTCTGGGGGTACAGAGAAAAATGAAAGCCTATGCTCTCAAGTAGCTTACATTCTATAGGGGCAACTACATGGACACTACATCAGTATATTTTATACAAAATAAATATAAGGTAATGGGGCAGAGGGGACAGGAAAGGTCTCAATAGGAGGTAGTACTTGGCTTTCTAAGAGGTAGGCTAGTAGCCAGCCTGTGCAAAGGCATAGGTATGGGAAATATAATTTTATGTGTGAGAAACAGTTATAGTGTGCATGAAGACAATGAAAATAATGCACGTCGGAAAAGACAGGGATAATATCCCTTTGTGATCTTCAGTTCTGGCAAAAAAAACAAATGGTGCACTTTAATCCAGATTCTGCTATCCTCAAAGAGGCTTTGATCTTGTTCCATGCTTCAAGCATGAATTCTTGAGTTATTTTCTTAAGATAAGGATTCCTTTTCTCTCCCTGTAATACTTGGAGCACTCTTAATGCCCTGGAGATAATGGTTCCAATCTGGCCTTTATCTTGTCTTGAAAAGGTCTACATTCCCCATCCTGCCTCGTTTTGTGCCCTTGAATGTACATTCCCCCCTTACAAAATGGAAAAGAGAAAACAGGATAAATCTGATGGTAAAGTACAGAACCCTGAAGCGGGAAGATATTTAATCCACATGAAAGATCTTCAATTTGCAAAAAGACCCTAAATATATTAGACTGAAGTCTCATACATTCTTGAGGCAAACCTAATAGGGAGAAGCAGTTCATAGGAGGAACAGTAATACAGCCATCTTTCTGCTAAGATATTATCTTTGATCAATTATGGATAAAGAGAGGTAGTGTTGGATAGTATATTGGATACTGTCCTGGACTTGAAATCAAAAAGACTTAGTTTTCCACCCTGCATATAAAATTATATGCTATGAAACTTCACTCAGCAATTTCTAGAATTATGTATATGAACACTCTAGATTTCTTTCATTGGTTAAAACTAAATCCTTTATCTATTTGTGTCTAATGGTAGCCATCTCTCGGCTACGAGAGGGGAAGGGAAGAGAAAAAAAGGAGGAAAAAAAGAAATATACATGATAATTTTGTTGTATATTTGAAAGGAATAGCAAGTTGTTCATAGTAGATTTGCAGTTTCATATATAATCATGCTTTTTTATTGTACTATATTATGGAAACGCTTTTTATTCCATAAAATAAATTTAAAAAAAAAAAAAAACTAAATTCTAGGGAATCAGCAAATAGTTGAATGCAGAAGAACATAAGCCAATTAATTAATTTTCACTAATTTATTTCTGGTAATCAAGTATGTAACCCAAACCAAACAACACAAATTAAGCAGGGGAAAAAATAACAACAAAAACAAAAAACAACTTGTGAGTGAAATTCACTATTAAAAAAAAAACCTTAAACTAATCAAAATGATTTTAGAACAATAATTTTTAAAGGTAGTATATAAAAAGCTGCATCTTTTATCAAGTAGGCATAAATAAGGATCAGTGTTAGTTCTTTTTGAAATTAACATTTGCCAATTCCAAAATAGTTTGAGAAAATAAGTTTTGATGTTTTTGAAAAGTATATAATGGGCACAATGATTAGCCATAGCAGAGACCACTGGAATTTTCCCTTAAATACAATTAAATACATACAAGAGTTTGTCTGTCATCCAGCTGCTCAATTATTTGATTTGTATTAAGGCTACCACTCAGGAACTCAAGTGGGGAAACGATTTCCATTACAACTATATACTCTATTTTGCAACAGCTGATCAATGGGATATGTTTCTAAAATATCCAACTATGTGTACAAATAACTTAAAATAAGAACCTAGCAGGGAAGTTATGCACATTATTATACATTTTTTTGTTACAAAGTAGACATTTTGAAAGGAGAATTAGAATTTCTGCAAAATAAAATGAAAGTATCACTTGATTTCTAAGGCACATTATTAATTATGAAATCTAAAGTGAAATTTATTTGATTAACAGTATCAAGATCTCATAATATTTGCCCAAACTGAAATGGAAAGAGATAAGCATTGATGTAAAATTTTATTTGTAGTCAACAAAAGTATCTAAACTGAAACAAGCCAACCCTGCAAGCCTGAAATCATCTGAGCAATACTGGTACAGCATAAGCTGAAGAGGTTCTGAATAAAAACGTTTTTTAATTTGACATACAGTGCTCAGTGTTTTGGAGGATTAGGTAATTCCTGTTCATACATGTTAAGTGATGCCTCATTTTCATGACACAGTGCCTGGTTTCCACTTCCACCACACAAAACACGGTTTTCGGTAACTAATGCTTCAGTTCTACTACATGTTCCACTTCCATTATATAAGGATTCTAATTCACTGGATTCCAGTGTAATTGAAGGTTTCTCCAATGTCACTCCAGGTTCAAGGGAATTCTCTCCAGCAATCCTCAGATTGATAAATTTTATTTTCCAAGTGTCTACTAGAAAAGGACTACGGATGAGTCCAAATACTTGTTCAAAGATGCCTAAACACACATTGCCTCGGTGGACAGTGCCAGCAACTGCAACTATAACTAATCCATGTGGAGAAGATACACACTTCAGTCCACTGCAATCTAGGTTGGGATTAAGAAACAGAAACTCTTCTTTTACCAGAGATAGTAAACGAAGGCTCACCAGTTCTGAACCATGATAGTCTATCACATTTTGTTCTGATGTGTTATAACAAAATTTTAGCTTGACATCATCCCAGAAGTGCTGTGGTCCCCATTTTTCTAGGGGTGGTCCAAAGAAAGGATTCTGAGAGTTGAGAAGCTCAAAGAACCACTGGCAGAATTCTTCTCCTAACTTGTAACAATCCTCAAATTGTTCATGTTTTTTCTCTCTTTTTTCCTGTCAGTAAAGAAAAATCTAGGTTAGCTTTATGATCCATTTTTAAAGTCTAGGTTACATAGAAACAATAAAACATCTATATACCTTAGACAGAACATGCAAATTAATAGTGAACCAGGCCCAAAATTAAATAGGAGGAAAGATCTCATGACTTCACGATCTTTAGTAAATTACACAGCTCCTTCAATGTTCTCAAACTTCTCCCAGACAATAAGGCTCATCTATTTTAATATCAGGAGTCTACTGGTTTTGTTCTATGGCTGTGAATCATGGAACACTACAGTATCTGACAAATATAACAAAGAACTACAAAAAAGAACTTTAGTAAAGGCTGTCCTCAGAGAAATGTAACATTGAAAAAGAAAGGGGACTCTTGGTGACAGCAAGAGATAACTAGTGAAAAGAAAGACTGTGTACTCCAATATAGTAATTATGATGTCAGGAGAAAAATAAGGAATACCATCCAATTGGTGGGGTGGATTTCCTAAGGCGAACCTGTGCGAGGACATGGACAAGAGTCACATACAATGGGTAGGTATACACATGTAATGATCTGCATTGTTGTAAGGAATAGTCCCCAGGGGTGGGGAACCTACAACCTCAAGGCCACATGTGGCCTTCTTGGTTCTTGGATGCAGCATTTTGACTGAGTCCAAATTTTACAGAACAAATCCTTTTATTAAGTGGATTTGTTTTGTGAAGCATGGATTCAGTCAAAGGGCTGCACTTGAAGACCTAGAAGGCCACATGTTGCCTTGAGGCCACAGCTCCCCACCCTATATGATAAGACCAAAGATTCATATTAAGAGGTACAGGTTTATGGACCAAAACTGTTAGGGCACACACAAAACTTCTCTAGATAGTACGGTACAGTGAAAAAGCACTGACTCTGGAGTCAGAGGATCTGGATTCAAGTACTGACACTGATGTTTACTTCTTCCCTAAACTTCAGTTCTCTTATCATAAAAAGATGAGGCTGAACCTCTGAGGGTCCTTTGAGATCTATACACTTATGATCCTAGAGCTAAAGACTTCATAATTTTGTTGGCTATTTTCAAAATAATAAACAGAAAAGGAGCAGCCAATTATCATGAAAACTAGGTAACAGTAACTTCAGAGGGCCTAAATTATCAATACTGCTGTAGGAAGGTACTGTTGTTGATAATGCTGAATACTTCTTTTAACAAAATTATTTTCCAAGAATTTTTTTACTCTGCCCTCATATTTTTATGCGTTTTATAGACGAACTCATTTTAAGTAAAAAAATAAAGCAATGATACACATTGAATAGCTCGTACTAACTATATTTCAATTTACTTGGATATATTCTCCCAAACTGCTATATGACAACTGCCTTACCTATCCTTAAATTTTCAATTCAAAAGATACAGGGAAAAAAAAAAACCTACCAGATGCTAGGATCAAACACTAGAAAATGAGATTTCTATATAGAATCTAACTGAATAGAAACAGGAACTAATGCCTAGTATTTTTCAGGCAGTGATAACCCTAAATGGTTCGAGGATTAGTAGGTATTTATTATAAAAAATATTTTCAATAATGTACCATGGTGCTGAACCAGTTTTAATTGCATTGGTTTTTCACTTGTAGTTCCTTATTAACAGGATAAAAGGAAATAGTGCTACAGTACCAAAGAACAATTAACTATTAATTTTTTTTAAAAAAGTTCTCACTCAAAATTAGTAAGAATTAAGATGGTCCAAAATGGTCATAGAATTTTAACAACTATCTAAGCTTCTTTCAAGGACAAACTATAATGAACTAATAATGTGACATGGATTTTTTTTTAAAATTATTACCCTCATTGAACATACATTAAATAAAATGTCACTTATCTGAACTGGAGAAATGACAGTATGAGTAAAACAAATCACACTTTTAGGTTTTTAAAATGTAGTTTTACTTCCAAGTATAAAAAGTATTTCAAATTAAAGAAAGGTCCATTTAATAAAGATGTTCTGGCTACCTGACTAAATTAGTTTATTAATTTAATCTGTTAACATATAAATAAGTATAAAAACGTATCTTAGAAATGAATGATACTGCCTTGGCAATACTGTTTACACCATTAATATGTTTAGTAAATCATAGGGCATAAACAATGGAATGTAAGCCTCCTCATCTGAATTAACACAAATTTGGAACTGAAATTTTACTACATATAGTTATATTTCTTCAGGCTCCCAGGCTGTCATAAAAATGTATTTTTATTACAGTACTTCTCCTTAGGACAATAAGTTTTGTTTTTTTTTTTAATGAATTTGTTTCAGACCAAAAAAACTCCAAGATAACACTCTGTCTCAAACTAATAAAATAATACTTTATATAATGACAAAATTCTAAAAGGCAGCATGACATATTAGACAGGACAACCTAGCAGTCAGGAAGATCTGGATTTGGGTTCTGTATACAAGCTGTGACCATGGACCACTGAACCCCTCAATGCCAAAGACAACTCCTTACAACTCTAACTTTAGAGTTGAGCTCTGTACTCTTTAAGAAGAAAAAGTGAAAGGGTGTTTTTTAAAGCTAACAAACGACAGTAATTTCTGCCAAATTTAAGATTATTCCATTATCTCCAAATTATACTAAAATTACAAAAAAAAGTCACCTTAACTTGTTCAAATAGTATGGTGTCTTCTGTATCTGGAACGCTCTCCACTGTCTCCTCCACCACCTTCAACTCTGGTTTGTTCCAGTGATTTTTTGCATATTGAATAAGACTGTGCTTTTCAGAACATGGAGGCACAATAACTCCTTTCATTGCTAGATACTTAAATATGATTTCTCTGTATACTTTTTTTCTCTTCAGAAGTTCTTCAGCACTTTGACTATAAGCTAATACTGCACGAATGGCATCTGGAAAGAATTTGCAAAAATAAACGAATGAATGAATGAATAAGTTAAACTAATAATGACTTTTGTTCTAAAAATTCCCAAATGAAGCCGCATCAAATTCCTACCCTTCAAAATTCTCCTTTCTCTACAACTAGTTTTGTATTGAAATAAAAAAATATGCTTCCAAAAAGACAGGATGAAAAATTGCATTCAGTTTCTTTAAAAGAAGAAATATTCCCCAAATAGCACATATTACTTTTGCCTTCAAAAGCAGGACTTTAAGATAGTAGTTACTAAGAACACTATTCAAATTTTTATGCTGAAAACTTAAATTCAACTAGAACCATAGGATTTTATAACTTATTTTGAAGACATGAAAAAGGAGTAGGCCTGTCACGTATGGAGAATGAGACCAAAAGAAGACAACTAAATGCTATATTGGTATCCCTGGGTAAAAAAAGAACAAAAGAAAGGCTTAACATACATTGGGAGAGTCCTCAAAGGAAAATTTATGCAAAGACATGAATAAAAACTGCACAGAATGAGAAGACTGGAGGGATTGCAATCTGCATCCACACTGATGATATGATGGATCTATCAAACACAAAAAAAGCTGCTGGAGATCAGAACTAGTTCTAGCATTCAAGTTACATATCATCCTAGATTACTATAATAAAAGAAAGTTTAAAACTTGAAGTTAAGAAAGACATGAGCTCAAATTTTACTTCTAACATTTATTAGTTACCATTAATCAATAGGCCCTTTAAGTACCATGGGCCAATCATTCAACTCCTTGTAGACTATTTCCTCATTCACAAAATGGACAAAATGCCAGCAGTGTTTCATAGGATTGTGAGGATCAAATGAAATGTGTTAAACAAAATAAATGACTAAATACAATATTAAACTGAAAAAAACCTTAAGAAATTTCTTACATAAAAGATTCATGTAATTAAACCAAAGTTTCAAACAAATAATTTGTTCTGAAAGTGGAATTTAAATTAATTTCAAGGTTTAATTTTCAAAATTGGGAAATAATATTTTTTAAAGGTAAAGAGGTATATAGCATAATATTCTCAGAGTCAGGAACACCTGGATTCAAATCGTACCCAGTTGGTATGGGATTCTGGGGAAATAATCTAATTTCTCAGTCTCACTCCTCTTAATCTCCATACTTTATAAGTTGCAAAAAAACTAAATTGGTAGAAGGAACTTCCTCATTGGAAGTGCTCTAACTATGGAAATTACAGACCCAGAACAAACACCCAACCACCTCATATTTATAAATTGTAGAATCAAGACCTTAGAGGATCATCTAGTTCAACAATTTCATTTTACAAATACAGAAACTGAAGCAAAGTCTTAACAGTAATTTTTTTTAAAAGGATCACTGATTAGAGCTGAAAGGGACCTTAGAAAACATCTATTTTAAAGCTCTCTGTTCACAAACGAAGAAAATGAAGTTCAGAGATGTGAAGTGATTTGCCAAAGGTCATATAAGCAGCAAGCAAGGGAGCCAGGATTTGAATCTAGAGTTTCTTTGACTTTCCACTATACCACAAAGCCCAATTCTGAAATGGTTAACTTCTCCTAAATAAGCATGAAAATGCCAGTTGTATAACATGTTATTCAATCACTGCTTATATCTATGCAATTTAATTTTATAGGAACAGAAAAGTTACATAGTCAATCCCTCTGCTGAAATAAAACAAAAACAAAAGCCATGTCCAAATGTACATTTGGTCTTGAAAGAAACAGTTGCCACAAAAGTTTACATAAAAATGCAAGATCCAAAGAGAGATGCTAATGAATTCAATACATGGTTGACATGACCAAAGAAAATGAATAGGGTCTCCAGTGCTGAATTGCTTTATTAGTTCAAGCAATATTTACTTAAGTGTTACATAAATCAACACAGATTTGTCCAATGTGCTCCATGAGCATATCCATTAACTGGCCCAGAAGTCATGAGGACTTGAGCTCAAATCTAGCCTCAGACACTTACTAGCTGTGTGACCCTGGGCACTTAGTCCTGAATGTCTCCAAATGGGGGTAGCAGAATGGGAAGAAGGGAAGTAGTGGAAAGTACACTGAATTTAAAAGTATACTTTCTTAGAATATCAAAATTAGAAGGGGGGCAGCTAGGTTGCGCAGTGGATAGAGCACCAGCCCTGGAGTCAGGAGGACCTGAGTTCAAATTCAGCCTCAGACACATAACACTTACTAGCTGTGTGACCCTGGGCAAGTCTCTTAACCCCATTTCCTAGCTTAAAAAAAAAATTGGAAGAGACTTTGGGATCATCTAGGTCAGAGGTTAACCTTTTTGTATCATCATAGATTCCTTTGGCAGTATGGTGAAACCTATGAGACTCTTCTCAACGTTTTTAAATGCAAAAAATAAAACATCTAGGATTACAAAAAAAATTATATTTATAGCTATCAAAATATCAAAAAAGAAACAAAACAAAATCAAATGAAATTCATGGACCACAGGTTAAGAACTTCTAATCTAGTCCAACTCCTCTCATTTAAGAAATGAATAAAAAGAGGTTTGTGGAAGTACAATGACCTGCACAACGTCACACAGAACATCTCCCAATAAAGAGGGCATTAAAACCCAAGTTTCCTGAGTCTTTACATCGATCATAGTTCCAATTCTCTCATTTTACAGAGGAAACAAAGGAGGAACAGATAAGTGACTTGCCCAGTGTCACATAGCTGATAATGTCTGATAAAAGATTCAAACTTCCCTAACCACTGAATCCCTGTGTTTTCCCTCTTTTAAATATTTCCTATTCATCCTGCACACAGTTTGCTTTGTATATATTTGTTTGCATAGCAACTCCTCCATTAGATTGTAAGCTCCTTGAAGGCTGGGGGATCTTTTGCCTCTTCAATGTGGTTTTCTTGGCAAAGATAATAGAGCAGTTTGCTTTTTCCTTTTCTTGCTCACTTTACAGACAAGAAACCTGAGGCAAACAGAGTTAAATGTGTCACTACCAGAGTCACACAGCTAATAAGAGTCTGGGGCCGAATGTGAACTCAGTTTTCCCGACTCCAGGCCTGGTGCTGTAGCCACTGCGTCCCTAGCTGCCCACGTTACCCAGACCTGAGTGCAAATTCCGACTCTGCTCTTCCTAATCAGATTTACGGCGGAACCTTGGAAATCGTCTTAATTAAACTCCTCATCCGGGTGACAACCTTCGAATGCTACCTGGGCTCCCGGGGAGGTCAAAAAGCGGCCGCTGCGGCTTCCTCATTCACAAAGCGCGAACGCCAGTCCAGATCCCGGGGATCGCAACCTTTCTGGGGCGGGGGAAGCAGCCGGGCTAAGTCCGCGGACTCCTGAGAATCACGCTTTTGAAGGTTCAAGATACAATAAACGCGTAGGATTAAGAAAGAAGGGCCCACGACGATGAAATCTTCCCCCCACGTCCAAGTTCGAGGACTGTCTGGAAGCTCCCAGGTGAAGAACCCAGCGGGGCAGTCCGGCTCCGAAGCGCCGAGATGCCCGACCGAGGCGTGGGAGGGCCCGGGCCGAAGCCTTGAAGGCCGCTGGGCGCGATGCGGGCCGGCCTTCCGCCCCGCCCCGGCGGCGTCACAAGGGAGGGGGCAGCGCGGGCGTCCCGGACCGAGCCGGGGGCCCGCCGCCCGCCGCCCGCCACCCGCCGCGGCCGGCTCTGCGCCCTGGATCCTCGGCTCGCCGCCCTCCCTCCTACCGCCTCGAGTCCCCAACAGGGCGGGAAGGAGCGCCCAGAGCGGCTCCTCCCTCCCCAGGGTCGGACACCCGCCGGACCACCCTCACCTTGGCGGTCCTGGGGCTGAACGAGGCGGTTGGTGATGGTGTCGCACAGCGCGAAGATTTCGGAAGTTTCCATTAGGCCTAGCAGGTCACGACAGCCCTCCAGCTCCATCTTGTTGAGCCCCGACATGTTGCTCCCCGGGCGGGGGGTGGGGAGGGCCACCGCCGCCCCGGCAGCCGCCTTAGCAACTGTAACCGGAAGCGCTTCCTCGTTTCCCCTCTCCTCCCCTCCCTCCGTGACATGCGCAGAAGTCCTTCCCCACATAGGCCATGCGCGGAGCGGTATGGAACGTCAGTCAATGGTGTCCTCCCGGAGACATGAGATCTTAATTCGAAGTTCCGGTTGATAAGCCCCCCCCACCTCAATGTATTAAACTTGGGGGTGTCCCCACGGCCCAGCAGTTCACACGGATTGTTTGGGACCCTTTGCGCAGGAAGTGCGACATTGACAGAAGCAATAAGCTGTTCTTATTGGATGGAAATGTAAGCGACGTAAGAGATGTATGTAGGGGAGCGAGAGTCTGGTTGGACTCAACGTCTCTGCGTGGGTTGTGGTTCTTCCGGTCTTGCGCTCGCTTCCTCGCTCTTTTACCCCAGAGCGCAGGACGAGGGTTGGAGCGATCGCGTATCCTAAGTGCCCATCAGATAGTGGACCTTTCCCTGCTATATAGAGACATACATATATGTTTATAACACACAGTACGTGTGTGTGAGGACTATGGGTTCTTAAGGTGGGGGCCAGTGTGCCGCAGCCAGCTCCTGTCTCGCTAAATTTTCAGTAATCAGGCAAAAGCTACAAACTTGAGCTTGATTCTTTGTTTTGGCGACTGGACGCGAGAGGGGTGGAGAATATGTTAATGATTGCAGATTAAACTTAAAAGTGTGTCTTGCCTGTGAACATTTTTTTTTTCAGTGACCCGGTTGTTAAAACATCACCCTGCACACCACTATGATTGGTGTATAAATTTCGAGGGATTCTTGCACTTGGAAGGAGAAAAAAAAAATACATCTTTTATTTTCACCAACCCTTGGTTTACCTCATAATCCTGTGTATTTTAATTTTAAGCATTTTAAAGCACATAAACAGTAATCTTCGAACATGATTAATCTTATGCATTAAAATATTTGACTTAAAAGTTTCTGAAGGAGCATAAATAAAATATATATGTATATTTAAATGTGTATATATGTACATATATACACATACATACATATATTTTAAACCGGAAAATATTAAGAGGACGGACAAGCAAGGAAGCTTTGTTACTACTGTCACAAATTCCATATACGTTTTTTAAAATAAACAAGAGTAAAAGTTGTTTCCTTTAAAATCCTTTCTGTATAGTGAATACTAAAATGTTCATGTTTGTCAGGTTCCCAATAAAAAGTAACCATGTATTTATGTTCCTTCCAAATTCATTTCAAACGCTAACTCCTATAGTGTGCCTTCCCTTAATGCTCCCCCGACCCCCACCCCAGCAACTAGTGCTTCCTCCCTCCCCATTACTTTCCTTTTCTTTGATACATATTTTGTGTATATTTTATACACATGCGCATTGTTTTCTCCTTAGAATGTAAGCTCACTGAGGGCAGGGACTGTTTCTTTTTTGTCTTTATCCAGTTCTTAGGGCGGTACCTGAAACATAGTAATAAATACTTACTGATGATTGATTTTGGTGTTTGTAACCAAGGGCAAAGAATATGCAACGTAGAATGTTAAAGATAAGAGACCTTACAGATCATCTAGTCCCAGGATCTCAGAGATGAAGTGACTTCTCCAAAATCACCTAAAGTTTAAGTGGCACAGCCAGGGCTTGGATATAGTCAGGTCTTATGATTCCCGAGTGCCAGTGCTCCTTCCTCTGCTTCCCTTTCCTTGTCTCCCATTTTCACTGTTGTGATGGTTGCATCATGGCCAGGCCCTCCTCCCTCCTGCCTAGAGAAAGGACAGGAGGTACCACCTATGTGCCTCTTCACTAGGTTTCCAGAAGCCCCAAAGCCACAATTCTACCTGGCCCCTGGACACAATAGCCATCTGTCTGGTAGCACAATGCCTTCTGCTCATGTCCACCAAGGATGGAAAGTTGAAATCATGCTGAAATCTTGAGTTGTGCTGAAATCTTGAGGGTCTAATTTGAACCTTCTAATTGCCTGTCTTCATCAGCTGACCTCATTGATACTCTGCCTAGATACTCATTCCCAATCAATTAATTAACATACTTCCACCACCTTTCTCATCTAGTGATACTGAGTGCCTTTAATGCTACAGAACAAGTACCTTCCCTGCTGTAGCTCCTTCATTCTTTCCACCTCAAAGCCTTTTCCTCACACTTTCATTCCAGGTCTGTATGCCCTCTGGAACCCCTGCTCAATAATTAACAAACTTCCTTTTCATCTTTCACCATTTCTCTTGCTCCCTCCATCTTCTGACTCCTTCCAATGATATTGCATCACTAGCTACACTTTCACTCACAAGTCAAGGTGGGATAGTCAGAATACTCCTTGCTTCTCAATGCCATTTTCAGACTCTCCCTCTATATCCATCATTCCTTTGAGGTTCTTGCAATCCAAATTTATCACCCAATTCAAATTTTAGTAGTTCCTATCTATTGGCCCCAAGGATATTCTCACTTCTGCTGGGTTCATACTCTTTCTCTATACCACAATTCCCACCCTTTCAGTAGGTGACTTTAACATACATGTTAATATTCCCATAAATACTCTAACTTCCCAGTTCCTCAAGCTATTCAACTCCCATGACCTACTCCTTCCATTATCCACTTAAGCTCTACATGAGAATAGTGATAGCCTTGATCTCATCATCCCTGTCTACTTGCATTTTTAAGGACTCCAAAAATCTATCTGATCATAATCTTTTTTTTTTTAAATGTCTCTAAGTATTACTCCTGCTAAACTTTTCCTCTTCATCATGACACTTAAATCCCTCCATCTTTCAATACCATCTCAGTCCATCAGTTCTGCTCTGGCTTCACTTTTCTCCTTTCCCAATCTTGGGAAAGTTTAACCCAACACTATTGTTTATTCTCAAATCAATTGTTTCTTTTTTCCATCTCTGATCATGCTTTGCCAAACAATAATCTTGTAATACTCCTATCATTTGCTTCCTTTGTCTCTGCTCACAAGTTGCTGAATGCAACTGGAATAAATAATAAAACTATGCTGACAGAATCTTTTACAAAAGTTATACTGTTTAATCTCACCCTGGCCCTCACTAAACAGTAGTAGCTATTCTAAACCTCTTTCTTCCTCAAATTTTTCAGTTATTCAACACATTCCCTAATTAACCAAGTAGTCTGTTGAAGTAGGTCGTGTTCTATAAGGGATCCAAACCCACCACAAGCATTAATGAAAAAAAAAATGACAGGTGTTTTGGAAGTACAAAACAAGCAGGTTCTGCAATGTAGGTGTCCGTGTTTTATAGCACAAGTACACTAACAAAGATTTTAATCTGAGTCCCATCTCCAAGGCTAGTTCACATATGGTTCTCCTGGAAGTAAGACTCCTTATTATATACGTCCCAGTAGTAATGGGCACAACAGAAAGGGCCCAATAGAAACAAAGATCCTACATAAGAATTTTGGAACAAGAGGCTAGATTTCTTCTTAATTGGCAATTTAGTTCAGGGAAGAGGGAACATTAAGAATGTAACAACTCAGACTCTTCAGTGATTCATTAAGATGATCATATAGGATTTAGGTCTTGAACCCTCTTGTCTTAGAGATGGGAAACTGAGCTTCAGAGAAGACTTGCATAAGGTTGGCCCTTCGGGTAATGGGTGGCAGAGCTGAGATCTGAACTAAGGTCTTTTGACTCCTAGCATTCTTTCCACTACAATATGCATTATTTAACTTGGTGCCTGGAATTATCCCATAGGAAGAAATTTTTATTTCTTGGAATTTTCCAGCTCCCTGGAATTTCTATTATGTGTTCTGAAAACCAGCAAGAAAGCTTTAAGTACCATTTCAAGTTCTATACTGATAGAAATGACAACTCATGTTTACATAGCACTTTCACATTTACAAAGTGTTTTCTACATCAGAATCCTGTGAAGTAGAGTGCCTCCTCATTTTACAGAGATTGAATGATTTGCCTATGGTCATACAGCTTTTAAATGATAGAGGTTGATGCACCTGAGCATATTAGAATTTTTTTTAAGGAATAAAAAGAGCAATTCTGGCAGTTTGTCCCTACATCTCACCTCTCCTAGAGTATTGCAATAGTCCAGTCTAACTGATCTCCTTTCCTCAAGTATCTAATGTACTGCTAAAATGATGTTCCTAAAGCACATGGCTAGTGCCATACCAATCAAACTACCAAAGAATTATGTTATAGAGCCAGAAAAAATAATAACAAAATTCGTCTGGAATAACAAAAGGTCAAGAATATCATGGGAATCAATGAAAAAAAAAAGTGAAGGAAGGCAGCTAGTAGTAGCAGATCTCAAACCATAATTCAGAACAGTAATCAGGAAAACAGTTTGGTACTGGATAAGAAATAGAATGGTTGAGGGGCAGCTAGATGGCACAGTGGATAAAGCACCGGCCCTGAAGTCAGAAGGACCTGAGTTCAAATCCGGCCTCAGACCAAACACTTGACGCTAGCTGTGTGACCCTGGGCAAGTCACTTAACCCCAATTGCCTAAAAAAAAAAAAAATAGAATGGTTGATCAGTAGAACATATTAGGCATATAATATACAGAAGTAAATGACCTCAGTAACCTAGTATTTTATAAACCCAAAGAACAAAGTATTGGTGCAGGAACTCACTATTTGACAAAAACTGGGAAAACTGGAAAGCAGTCTGGCAGAAACTAGGCACAGAGTACCATCCCACACTATATGCCAAAATAAGCCCAAAATGAGTTCCTGATGTAAACATAAAGGGTGATATCCTAAGCAAATTAGAGGAGCATGAAAACTTGTTATTTATATGGATAAGAGAAGAATTCATGACCAAACAGGAGAAAGAAAGGATCACTGGAGGTAAAACAGATACTTTTGATTCTAAATTGAAAAGTTTTTGCACAAACAAAGCCAATATAGCCAAAATTGGAAGGATAGCGGGAAACTGGGGGTGGGAGGGATTTTTTTTTAAAGCAAGTTTCTCTAATAAAGGTCTCATTTATAAAATATATTGGTAAATTGATCCAAATCTATAAAAATAAAAGCCATTCCTCAATTGATAAATTGTCAAAGGACATGAACAGGCAGTTTTCAGGAGAAGAAATCAAAGCTATCAAGTCAT